GGCGGACCCCAACTCTAGCCACAGCTGCAATCCATCCTATTCAGTCAACTCAAGCAAAATTCTAAATAAAACACCCAAAAGGAAAATTAGTTTCCTTTGACTTGAATTGACGTCAGTGAGCAACCACTGAGCCCTTCTTGCTTTCATTATCCCAGAATAAAAGTCTGGGGGCTGCTGGCAGAAAATCCTCTTATTATATCACATATGAGACTTTTGCACATTTGAAGAGAGGCTGATCACCCTGGTGATTGCAATACAAAAGGCCTTGGCCAGATACATCAAAATGGGCACCTTGAAGTCTATGAAGAAATTAACTATTCCATTGCAACACCTGTTCCTCTCCTACAAGATTCAGAACCTTAGTGTAGACACTGTACTTGACATATATTTGGGATTAAGTGACAGATAATTTATTAATGCATGTTTTCATAACTCTAACTATGTTTCTATGATTGACATAGTTAGTTGTGCCAGCAAATATCAGTAAACCAAATTAGAATGCAAAACCCCCTAAATTTCACCTCCAAGTGCAAATATAGCAGCTTTTGATCCAAGCATGTTGCGTGTTTGAAAATGCTGTGTTTAAGAAGTGTTTTGTGAGACTCAGAATAACAAGTGCTGTTTTTCCAGGCCTTTCTTCAGTTCCTGAAGAAGGTGGTTGCTAATGAAGGAAAAAATAAAATGAATTTGTGGAATGTTTCTATGATTGTTGCACCAAACCTCTTCATCTACAAAGGGAAACGGGCAAACCAACAAGAAATGCAAGCAGCCGCCACCACAGCACACATTGTGCGGCTTTTAATTCGGTACCAGGACATCCTGTGGACAGTGAGTAGTGCTGGTTCCCTCTTTATGGCTCCAATACAGAGAAGTATTTTGCTCTGTAGAAACCAGAGTAAACTGATCTTCCTAGAAGAAGTTAGCTGTTCTTTGGAAACTGGCTGGAGTCTTCTACATCTAGAATGAGATAGGGTGACAGAGCCTCTGGACAGAGATTTATTTCTTCCAGGACATTCATTTTAGCACAAATTGCTCTATGGAGGTACCTATCCCACACCATTTTTTATATAGAAGAATGCATAGAAGAATGATTCAATCTAGATGCCTAGGTGAGATGTCTAAACATTATAACAGTCTTCCAGTACCTTAAGGGGACGTACAAGAAAGCTGGAGAGGGACTTTCTACGATGCATGTAGGGACAGGACAAGGGGCAGTGGTTTTAAACTGACAGAAGGGAGATTTAGATTAGACATAAGGATGAAATTCTTTACTGTGAGGGTGGTGAGACACTGGCACAGGTTGCCCAGAGAAGTTGTGGATGCCCCATCCCTGGAAGTGTTGTTCCCAAGGTCAGGTTGAAGGGGACTTTTGAGGAACCTGGTCTAGTGGAAGGTGTCCCTGCCTATGTCAGGGGGATTGGAACTATGTGATCGTTAAGGTCCCTTCCAAACCAAACCATTCTGTGATTCTAGGAATGAGATTAAATGACTGTTTAAAATATAGTCCATAATAATATGGACTAAAAGTGTGGACTTTAGAAGGTTGGCATGAAGATGACAGTCTTGGCTCTTTTCTTCCTAACAGAGAGAAGGTACGATGGGGATCACAAAGACTACCTCATAATAAAGTTCTTATAACTGCAAACATCACTAAAAAGTTTCACATGGTATAAAAGGTGATCTGCAGTTTCACCAAGGGAATAACTGGGTTGTTAGAGGAAGCTACTAATCACATGTATTGTCTGGGAATAAATAAGAGCTTTTGCTGCCTAAATTTTGGTGTCTTTCTAAAGCACCAACACTAGTTTTATGGAGGGAAGATTTACTCCATATTCTTAGTTCTGGTTTCCTCCCTTTAGGTCCCATCCTTCCTGATTTCCCAAGTAAGAAAAATGAATGAAGCCGCAATGAACAACAGCAAAAGGCAGCTGATGTTTGACAAAGGAGTAAGAAAACTTCTGAGGAGAAAGACCATGGAACGAGAGAGACCTGAAAGACCAGAGGTGTGGTAAAAACTTATCAAGTACAGCTTTAAGCAGCCTCTCTCCTTTCTTACCTCATAAAATCTTCTGGAAAGGGGGAGGAAGTTTTGACATACAAAATAAGATTATTTGGGAGCTAGCTTGAAATGATTATCCAGCCCAATATCCTGATAAGACAAAGCTTTGGGAATTGATTGAGAAAATGTGAGGAAGGTAGAATAATTTCCAGTTTGCCTAACATAGACACTGAAACTGGATCTAAATCTTAAGCGCCTAATGAAGTAGTTTGTGTCATTGAAATAGTCAAAGCAGAGAGGTAGATACTTTTGAGGATTTCCAAAGCTTTAGGTGCAGTTCAGGCTTAGGAAGTCTGACACAAAAATCTTCCTTGGAGGTCTTAAAGCCACCGACTTTTCTCTACTGCCTAGGTATGGAGTTTAGGAACTTGCTTGAGGTATACTACTTCAATACACCTAAAAGTAACTTACACATTAGGTGTAACATACAGTTTGGGCAACAAAGCAGGTTGCATACACATGCACAACATATACAGTCCCTATAGCAGCTTACATGTTGTTTTTCCATGTGGTATCTACCTTTAATAACCCAGAGAGAAAGTATTTAGAGTCTTCCATGGATGTTTAAAAGAATGAAAATCAGTGAGTGATCATGGAACTGGTCAAGAACTCTACAGTTATTGAAGAATAGTCTTGAAGAACAACAGAATAAAGAAATTGGGAAGGAATGATATTAAGAGATTTATAAAAAGTAGAGAATAAGCCACCTAATACAGACAATGAAGAAAAAGCAGAAGGGAATGTCTGGGAAAAAAAATAAAAAGAGAAATTATATGTATGGTTTGTGAACCCATGCTAATCCAGATTTTGGAGAATTCATTCATCAGTACTGACTGAAATATATTGTGGGTAGGACACACATTTGTGCTGCAGATAGAGAGAGAGATGTTTGTTTCAAACTGTGGTGTAGACTACTGTGTTCCAAAACTGTGTTCACCCTGGAATAAATACAGTGAGAGCTTCTGAGGAGAGTCAATTACTGCAGTCATTGCACCTTCGGGAAGAGAAGTTCATTGATCGTAATTGGTTTTGCATCTAATAAAAACAAGAGTAGCCATGTCAGGTAGCTGAAATATGAAGGGTAAATTGGAGGCAAACTCTGTTTGGATAACTAAGTTGAATTCTGAGAGCACTTAACACAATTCCCAGGTCTCAGATGTTCTAAATTACACAGGGACAGAGACTAGAGAGACTATTGTGCTCTGCTCAGCATGGTATTAACTGGATTAGAACTGGAATGCAAACCTTGCTAATTGATTTATCTGCCATTAATCATGGAAGAGTGCATAAACTTCATAGATGATCATTTGAAGCCTACTCAAGGTCAAATTTCAAATTAACAGAAACCATATTGTACTTTGACATTTTAGTGTACATATACTTCGATCTAGTTCAAGCCATAGGAAGCAGAAACAGAGAGCTGGATCTTTATGTTCCAGGAGAATCTCATCTTTGAAAGGAAGAGTAGATATTGCTAATAATTTTTATGTATTTTTAAATTAGCAGTTGGTTCACTAACCAAAGTGAACAGAAATGATTTTTAAAATGTCAGGTAACGACTCAATATTACTTCAAGCAGTTAAAACTTAAGGGCTTTACTTCATTCTACGTGCATTTATGTAATACTTACCAAGAAGTTTGATCTTTGTGTTGTATCTCATTCTACTGTATCTACAAATTTGCATCTGTATGACTGTAAGTATGTTTTTTGAATAAGCAAGTCAGTCCAGGGCAGTGATTTTTGCAAACAAACTCAAAAAGAATTGCAGACTGTTTCTGAATGGAGTGAGAGCAGTATTTGCCTTAGACTTACTCTACTGAATATTGTTTTTAGGGAGCTGTCACTTTTCCACCATACCTGCAGTCTGACATACCCGAGGGGGTGATAAGAGTTTATGCTCCACTGCATTCAAAAGTCTCTATGGCAATTCAACTCAACAGCCAAACAAAAGCCAAAGACATCCTGGCTCGATTCCACTGTGAAAACAGGTGGGTAAATCAGAACATTTTGTTTTTCCTGAACAATAATGTCAGAACCATCAATGAACAGATTGTTCCCTTTTCAAAGACTCATTGTGCTACAAGAACTCTTTTTCTAAACTAAAATTGCTAATTTATGGTTACGTTGGTCAAAGAAATTTTAACCACTGACTTTATGCTTTATATTGTACTTAATAATTGGCTCCTATAGAGAATCAATCTGTCCTCTGTTATGCCACTACTGAAAATATATGTTTTATAGACTCACTGCATGGAGAACCCAGAGGGACTGCTGTACATCTGCCCATAAAACGTTAATATTTTTATTTCTGCAAGATAATGATTATTAACAGTTGTGAGAAATGGTAAATTGCATCTCAAAGTCTTTTCTGCAAAGTATTTCCATGTTACCGAGTAATTCTGTTCTTTAAATAAGTAAGATGAAATAAATAATAGAAGGTTTATTTAACTGTGACACAGTAATCTATCTCTGTAGCAGATTCAGTATTCTGCAGTGCTCCATTTGGTAGAAGTCCTTTCTTTCAATAAGTGTGTTCACAGGGGCACAAATATCAATTTTAAGCTTACTATAGAAGGCAGCTGATAAAGCAGTGGTTATAGCACAAAGACAAACTAAAGTGTTTTTCCATCCTAGCCGCGGATCATCACAGAACGTGAGAGGCCAGATCCAAAGTTTACATGAAATTGGAGGAAATATAGGTACGTCTCCATTTTGAAAATTCAATTCTGAATATCCCTAGCCTCCTTAATGACCCCAGGGCAGTGCTATTTTCACACAGCTGGGTTTCTCCTACGCTCCAGTCCATCTGTGAGAAAGGAGCCTGACCCAAAAGCTGTTAAAATCAATGTAACGATTTCTTCTGACTCCAGTGTGACTGGAGGGGCACCCTGCAGGATAGTGACCTGATGGCTGATCTCAGCAGGACCTCTTGCAGTCTTGCCAAATTCATCTGACCTTTTGCTTTCCTCTCTCACTCTCATAATTGAGCATTTTTCCACGGTTAAGAGATCCTTAGTCGTCTTCTTGCAAGCACATTCCACCTCGCTGTCAAGCCTTTTCCCAAGACCTATTTCTTCCTCTCTGTATTTAAGTGTTCACCTCCCCCAAAGAAAAGACGCATAATTAAGAATTCAGCCCCTGCATATATGGGTGTAATATACTCGTAGTAATCTGTGTGCTTTATTTAGATTGTAAATTCCTTGCAGATTTTGTCTTCTTCCGTGTTTCATGCAGTGACATTTTTGTAATAACAACATTGGCTTGCCACACAAGTTTCTGGCCTAAAGGTCAAACCCCAGATTTTAATTCGATATTGTACAGTCCTGACTCTCTCTATTCATACTAAAACTCTGGATGCTCTGTTGGAGTCTTTTGACAACTTTCTGATTCGATTGTGCCTTAATTCTTCTAGATTCAGTTCTAAACAGTTTCTATCAAATCATTACAAAACCTCACAGCCTTGCTTAAGCAGCAGTCTAGAAGAAAAGTCCTTACTACTGCTAAAGCTAAATCTGATTAGTGATTTGTTTTGCCTGGCTAAACAGGATAGCCAATCATGCTAAAACAGGAGAAGATCCTAAAAGCCATGTGAAACTATCCCTAGTATTCCCACCATGCTCTTTCAAAAATCTACACATTTAATTTGCACCTTCATTGAAAATTATTTTTATAGTCCTCAATCTTTCAGGGTACCTCAGGTTACTGATTATGGATTAATTCATTTATATTGCTTTCATTTGAGTAAAATCATTAGGACCCAAGTGACCTTGTAAGTAACTGTACAAAAATTTTACCATAATCCTTTGTGTCACAGCAATGTAACCTCACCAGTTAAATGGCTTCATTACCCAGTGTAAATGCAATCTAAGCCCAACAAATCAACTTAACCCAAGAATTTATTGCCTTATTACCCAATTAAGAAGCACCAAATGCCCCTTTCTATGGCAAAGGAAGCAGGAACTCCCCAGCCACACAACTCCTATTCCTAGTCACCACCTCACAAAATCTTCAAATGGCCAGACTCAGGACGACTTTCATTTTCAGCCAGAAAAAAATAGCAACTGCCAAAAGACTTGATGTAGTCCCTGTATTTCTTTGCAAGACCCTAGATGGATGGGAACACATAGTTTACAGAGCTACTTTTTCAGAATTTAAAAATAGTGTAGAAATGAAGTCACAGAATTGCAATTCCAGTGCAGTAAATCCAAAGAAGTAAAAGCCCCCCGTACTGTTTATGCTTCTAAAGAAACCACAATGCTTGTTCACCATCTGACTAAATGTCTTGTCCATAACTCAGTTTAACGCAGGGCATCTTGCCTTGAAGCAGAAGTGAATTCATGACTCTCAGTGAGTAAAATCACCTGCAAATTTGCCAAAGCCCCTGCCTGTATCCAGGTGAGATATTAGCTGGACACACCAAACTAGGCTGGCTATGTGCAAGTCAAAGATGTATTCAAGGACATTTTAACACCATTCATCCCTGCCCATGGCAGAGAGGTTGGAACTAGATGATCTTAAGGTCCTTTACAACCCAAACCATGCTATGATTCTATGATCCTTTCCAGTATACTAGTGTGCTCAGAACATGCTATGATTCATGCTGTGGATTCCTGTTTCAGGTCAGCACTGCTTGGATCCGGACGCATACATGTTAGATGTTTACCGTGCAAATCCTCATGCAGAATGGGTGATAAAACCAAAAGCCAGCTGAAGCAGGAGGCTGCGGTGTACTGGACAAAAGCCAAATGGACAAGAGTGATGCCTGTCATTTAAAAAAGCTCTTGCCAGAGACGAAACAAAATGGTAGCCACAGGACATCGTTCCTTCCTACTGTACTGTCCAACTGATGGTCACCATGTACTACTTTTGGTATGAGCATTATCACTCCAACTTCTGGACCGCTGGGAAATATATCAGTTATACTTTCATATGGATTACATTTGTGCCAGTTAGCCCAGGAATTAAGGAGGACAGACCAAGGTACGGTGCACAGAAAACAACCTGTTGCATAGGAGTTGTTCGTTTCCTAACCTGGAACATGAATTTTGTGAAAGAATCCAGTAGCATCCGAGGATGTATGAAACACTATGGACCCCAGCATAACACAGAAGCACCACAGAGATGTTGAAGATGAGAAGTTACCTGTCAAGCATTGAAGAGAGGAGCTCGACCACCAGCAGTGCCAAGACATAGCTGTGTGACAAAATCAAACCTTTCTGCCGAAAGTAAACCTGTACAGTGTGCATTACTGCAATATTTATGTTTCCCAGTCACTCCTCATGAATACCTGATGCTGGGGGAGGAGGAAGGCAGGAGGAAGAAGTACTGTATAGACAGCTATACAGCCGTATGTGTGTACCACTGATATATTACTACCAGTCTTCCAAATTGTCTGTCTGGATCATATTACTGTGTGCAGTTGTAGCACAACAAACCATTTTCTCCTTCCTTCTCTTGCTACATACACAAGTTTGGGAGACAAATGCTAGGTGAGAAGGGGCATATTCCGCTGGCTCTTTTTACTTGATACTCTCAAATTCAAGTCTGTGTAATGCCATAATAATATGTGTGTTAATGGTGCCACTTACAGTCATCACCTTTTTTGTTAAACATTATAGTTCCTTAATTTGTAACCCGATTATTTTTCTTTTGTTTATTTTAGCTTTAAGATGTAAGCAACTTTTATACTATTCAGCTGCAGTGAAAAGAGAGATCTTTGTCCAGATTTTGTACAATACGGCGTGGAGAAGAAAAAGCTTCCAATGAGCAGAGGGATTTAACACCCTTATTTAACATTTACATATTGGGGCTTTAAAACTATCGCCAAACTAGGCCCAGTTGTGCTGGGGGTTTTACAAATACATAGCAAATAGTAGCTCTTTTTACAGATGGCATGCAGTCAATGAAAACACACAGGCTGGCAAAAGAACAGAGGGCCACAACCGCATTGGGAATGCAGCACAGCAAATAAAAGACAGTATGCCTACTCTGTAGCCAGTCACAAGGGTGAGCACTATTCTTCACCTAATCCTTTCATTCTGGGTTACACTTTCATAGAACTGAAGCATGTTTGCTGAGTAAGGAAATCACAAGTCTGTGGAGAACAGCAAGTATTTTCTTCATCTTTGTCTTATGCAAAAACTGGGAACTAATGCCTTCAAGTGCACCACCGTGTCTCTGTCATTGGATGATTGTATCGCTCAATGAACTCACTCACAGTCTCAGCAGTGGGTTTTGCTCCTCACCTGGACACACATATGAGGCAGAAGATAGTGCTCTGTTTAGCAGGTAACAACGTAAAAGCATTCTAAACCAAGTCCTCCAGGTGAACATAAAGTATACTGTCCTGCAGAGAAAGCCCAAAACTTGTGATGCTCTGCTGAAGCTGTGCAACGAAGGCTGGCACACTCTAGAAACCCTGGTTCAAAGCATTCTCCAGTAGATAACTTTCACTGTTAGTGTTCAGTGAGAGAAACCAATACTGAATCAGTAATTTTACCAGCAACAATGTCTACAGAGGGCACACCCTATCTTTCTTCCTTACCTTCTTGAGATAAAAACCTGTAAGATTTAGCAACATTATAATTTCATTTTCTTTAAAACACTGAAATTCTTAACTTTCCTTTTTTTTTTTCCCTTTTCTTCTTAACACTAATGGAGGCATATCTGCAGCCAGAAAAGATAGGGGCAGTTGTATTATAAAATACACTGCTTATTCTGACAAATATTTATTTTAAGTATACGAGAGACAGTAGATCTGTGGTTTGTTCATAGAACTAAGCATAAAGGTTTTGTCAAGTGCTTTGTTCTTGCTTCCCTTTAGTTCCGTCTGGGGCAATGAACGACTCTTTCTACTATGCTGCCCTTTTCTTTTAGGTGTAAAATGGGACTAGTACTTTCCTTATAAAGATAACATGAGAATTAGTTGAGTTAAATTATGCTCTCAGATGCAGCCAAACAATTCCCTGAGCAGATCAGAAGTTATAAACATACATCCAGGAAGGACAAACTCAGCAGAGGGATTTTATGTGGAAAGTGCTTTGAATACAAAGAGCATCAAATAAATGCTAAGCATAATTGTATTTATAGCCAAAAAAAAGAGCTTCTATGACTATACAGAAAGCCTAAACATTAACTAAAGAATTTGAAGTGTCATAGCAAATGAGAACCTTCCACAACACTTTCAGACAGATATGTTGACCGACTCAGTATTGCCCACTCACTTCACTCCACATTCACAATGGCCATGCAAGGCTAAGTACAAAGCACCCACGAGTTCACACTGTTACTTGCTCAGCATGTTCTGGACCCTGAAATGAGGACTTCAAAATTATTTCTGAAGTAGATCTCACTGTATTCCATATGGGATACAAGGGGTTTTTGGAAGACTTCCACCTTTTACCACTTTGCAACTTAGGAAAGTCAAATCTGATGTAATGAAATCCAACCTCTGAACATTTGTTTTATACTAAAATTGCCTGTAACTTTACAAGACATGCCTATTAGCAGATGAACTAGATTCTACGTACAGTGCCCCGACTACTACAGCATGGTCAAATACCTGCTGTCTTTGAAACAGAATGGCAAAATTCTTTTTTGATACAAATGGACCTAATGACCCATGTATACTGTGGTTAATGCTGTTACACATTAAGTTGTTTTGTGCTGTTGTGGTATGCTAACTTGATTTAATATACCACAGACAAACTGAACAATCTCTATGACACTTTTGAATATGAGGACTCAACGTTAGGCGTTATGTTTCAAAATGCTGGTGGAGGCAGAGGGAATTCTGTTCCTCCTAACAGCAGTTGAAGTCAAAACAGTTATGATAGGATTGTTGTCCAACAAAAAGCAACATACATGCATATTAATAAGAAAGTGGTAGCAAGCAGTGAGAAACTTACTCAGCTAACTCCAAAGATGCCTCAACCATTTACGTACTCCATGGTTCTGCAAAGACAGCATTTTGCATATCAACACGAAGAGAGAGAGAGAGAGTGTATTGCAAGGAGTAGTATTGGAAACAGACTGGAATGCTCTAACCTGTTTATGCAGCTAATGTCATCAGAATGTGTACGTGTGTGCAAATGTGTCTGTGTCTACGTATAATATTAACTACCTCACTCTGCATTTTCCAGGAAAAATATTTTGGCTCAGAGGTTTACTATTCCAAACCTTTCTGTTATTAAGTTTACCTCTCCACTAGACTTACGCATTGATAAAATGTTTCTCTGTCTAATGGGCGAGATTTGGAAATCACACAGAAATATATATTAAATGACATATTTCACGATATGGATGAAATTTTAACCAAACCAAAACATGTTGCCTCAATTACTTTTTGTAATGTGAACCTTATGAGATCAGATCCTGAGGTCAATAGACAAAATACATACTGTGTTTCAGTTTTTATTTTTCAATGGCTTTCCATTAATGTGCGTCTTGTCTGGAAAATAATACAATGTCACTAATCAAAGCAAATTGCTTGTATGTACATTTCCCTTACAAACCTCATGTTACGTGTCGTTGAAGTAAACCCACACTTAAGTGTATTTGTACAGCAGAATGTGTCCATTATATTGTATCCATGCCAAAAATAAAAACAATACCAACAAAGAAAGCTCTTCAAATCTAAACATGTGGGGTTTGGATAGAAACAGGTGACAGAAACAGCAAAAAGCAGTGGTGAATCTGTCTTAAAAGCAGCTCTGTCGTTACAGCACCTGAGCAGCTACCTACACCAAGGACTACCTTCTGCCATCCCTGCTCAAGTGGAGGTACAAAATTACACTGGTTGGAATCCTGCCTCATTGAAATTAATGACAAACTGCTTTCATTTGAGACAGTATTTTTCAAACTAGTATGCAATACATTGTGAATTAAGAATCACAGAGCACCAAAGGTACTTTCCTGTATCCTGTAAGAAATACTGTTTCCCAAGAAAGATGCATTAGTTCTCTTTGCCAAAATACATTTTTGTTCCCAAACCAGACCCAAAGAGTTTCTTCACTAACACAGCATTTTATATGCATCTCTGTGCTGTGGAGTTGCTGCCTGTCCTGCAGCTGATTACATGAAAGCACAAACAGGACCATAATCCTTCTAAACAATGTGGCGATAATGGGGGTTGGAAGCACTGGATATTAAAGGTAGAAGTAAAAGGGACTGGAGCTACCACAGAAAGTATAAATAAGAATAGTCTATTAATTAAGACTATGAATCAGAGACCTTCAAAACTATGTTTTAGTCTCCTGCTCCCTCTGCTGGACTACATCCACTTCTACTTTTCACTTCTTAGCCTGCCTCTACCCCTTTTAACTGAAATGGATGGACAACTGAACTACGTGAAATAATGCTCAGTTTATTGTATTTTTATTATGTGGTCCAAAATTATTGCCTTTTTATAAAACAACCAACACACAATAAAATGAAATACTGTCAAGTAATCAACACTGATTAATAAAAAATCCAAAAGAAAAATACCCAATTAATGCCATTAACATTGCAGTAGAGGTATTTGTTGTTTAAAACCACGCAGACATAGAGCTTCTGACTAAAAAAAATAAATGACCTGAGCAGGAAAACAACCAGAAAATCAGAGATGCAGACTCTTACCAATTCTTCTCTTCATTACGAAATGAGAATGAAAAATCACAAATCAACAACCCCCCCCCTCAGTCCAGACAGGATTTTCTGCAGTTCAGTGCT